CAGGTGGTACACAAGAGAGGTACTGGCAGTTAAAGGGAAGAAAGCAGCTTTCGAAAAATGGTTTGGAAGCAAAGAGCATTAAACTCGCGCGCGATTTGTCGAGGCACGCAAGGAGGCAGAAAAACCAGTGGCGAATACCAAACCTAATTCCTTGGAGAAATTCGGTGAGGTGTTGCAGTCGTATTTTCACACGGCAAACAAAATATTCTGGCAGACCATTCGCAGGCTACGAAGTGAAAAGAGGGGCAGTCTTAGAGTCTTCAAGGACAGGTCTCGACGCCATTTTATCGAGGATAAGGACATCCTTCGACGACGGGAAAAAGTTCTTTGAGGAACTCCTTAATCCCGAGAAATCGCATGAAGACGCCAATAGAGCAGTAGGGAATGGATATTACTATTTCTGTAGATGAAATTACACACACTGCGAAAAGCATGAAAAAGAGAAAGGCTGCTGGAATAGTTGAAATCCGCCCTGAAATGCTCAAGGTATTAGGCGAACAAGGCATGTGCTGGATTACACGAGTCTGTCATGCAAGATGACTATGAGAAGTACAGGGCTGGAGAATGGAAGTTGTTGTACCCCTAATCAAGAAGGTAGACCAGAGAGAGTGCTCCATTTATCGGCGCATTGCGCAACTGAGCCTCTCACTGAAATCCGCGTCAAGGTGTTAGAAAGGAGGTGCCGCGGAGAAGAGCAGTCGGCTTTCGGCTGGTCGAACTACCTGCTGCGATATTTGCCCTTTGCCGATTTGTTAATAAATTGTGGGAGTTTGCCAATCCGGTGTACATGTGCTTTGTGCGTTGTTGAGCTAGAAAAAGCCTATGACCGGCTTCAGTCCAACAGTCTGTGGTCATCGCTGCTAGCATACAGGATAGATAGGCCGGTGCAACAAGCTATCCAATCACTTTATTCTGACAAAAGGAGCTGATTCAGAGTGGATGGCGTTAAGTTTAAGACTTTCAACGTTGGCACTCCTCTCCGCCAGGGCTGCATCTTGCTCCGTTTAGGCAGGAGCAACCAAAGCGATGAGTATATCAGTTTAGGAGACGTAGAGACGAGAAGCTTTCAGTTTGCAGACGACCTTGTTTAATTGGCATCTTCTGAAACTGATTTACAGTGCTCAATGGAAAAGTTCGCAGCCGAGTGTGACGTGACTGGCATTCATGAGAACGCGTCTTAAACGAAAAGCCTAGGGCTTTCTCTTTCTCCCGCCTATTGCTCTTTTCAGAATAACCTAGAGGCAGTGGTTTATATGGAGAAGTTCAGGTACCTCGGAACTGTGTTTAGTAGTGATGGAAAATTGGAGGAAGAGGTCGACCGGCGAATTGGAGCCGCCAGTGGCGTTCTGCGTGAACTAGCACGACCCATTGTGACTAAAGCGAAGTTCAGTCTGAAAACTAAGCTTTCGGTGTTCAAGTCGTTTTTTATCTCCATGCTTCGAACCCACGGCACAAACTGGAAACGGGCTTTGTGAGACTAGTCGCTGGACTTACGCATCTGGATTTGGTGCGGAATACAAATATCTGGTACAGCCTTGGGGTACAATCCGATGCTTGTTCAGATTGGGAAGTCACTACTACGATGATCCGAATGTCTCGATAAAGTAAGTCTAAGAAACTGTTTTTTTGAAAAAGCGATGGGCAATAGGCACAATGGGCGGTAAAAATTTGCCTGGTCCAAATACAGTGGTACCTCGAGTCACGAACGCCTCTAGTCACGAACAACTCGACCCACGAACACAATTTCCGAA